CACTCACTAGGTCATGTGTTATTTATATTAATGGATGAAATTTGGCAGGAATAATTATTGATAATGTACTAAAGCAATGAACCTCAAAGACCTTTACATTGTTACATTGTCCAGTAGGCTTTTATCAAAGGACGTTGTCAGAATTATCAACTTCATGTTTGTTTATTTGTTCGTTTTATATAGATGCCAATTGCATAGCAGTTTTCTAAAGGTTCATTGCATAGATTGAGATATTGGCAATAAATAGCGTTAGTTTGGATTTTGTACTTATTATAGCTTAAGAGCTAGAGATGTTACAGTAAGTGCCTTAAAATTGTGTATTTTGTGGGTGTGACTTGCTTACCACAGCAACAACAACTGCTAGAGATTGTATGAAATGATTTCGCTCAACAAGGTTAATGACACAAGTGCAATAATAAAAAGCTAAGTCTTTTTCCTTAAAATTATTGTTATCTACTTGGGGATCAAATCACCTTAGATTAAATATGTGTTATTTCGAATGCACAATGTTTATATGCTTTGATCAGTTGTCTCAAAGCTTTCGTCTAGAAATTGATGAATACATCCAATTGATACTTACTGACAGTATAAACATTAAGCACTACAAAAGCAGCGACATTCCCTTGGTTATTAATGCCCTTGCACATGTAGGGTCCCTTATCTTCTCTCTTTGTATTCATGATAACAAGGCTGTTACCAGTTTTTACATGGCGTTCCTTAGACATGTCTTGCAATGCTCGCGTCCACTCGATCCGCGGAGGAGGAAACCCAAATATATTGCATGTGATGGTTGTGTTCCAATTTTCATAACCAGCGAAGTAAACCGGAGGCCGAACCACGAATCGTGGAGCAACTATTTAAAGAAAATGGTATATTAATGATTATCCTCAATGCTATTGGACGACCACAGTCGCAGTTTCGTATAAAGAATTTTATATTTGGCTAAATAAGCTATTTAGTTATCAGAACTGAATTGAAGTCAGCTAAAWWGAAATACTCATTGTCTGAGCAAAAACTATTTATTTAAACGATATTGCAAGTATGGCATTACCATTTACAACAAGTTTCATTTTCGCTGTAGCTTGACCAATGAAATTCTTTGCTTTCAATAAGTAAACCCCATGGTCTTCGAACTTTACATTCTTTATTCGTAGAGCACCAGTGATATAGAATCGCTCGTCTACTTTCTTGTTGTCTTTGTACCACGAGATTCTAGGTTTAGGGAAACCAGAGGCTTTGGGCGGAATAACCACATTATCGCCTTCTTTGGTGACAAGAACAGATGGAGGTCTTTTGGTTATTTTTGGAAGAGCTTTAAAAAAGATTGGAATGCACATAGGTTGTATATTTTACATGTTTTTACCATTGAATAATCCGTACGTTTATTTGGGATTTCGTTATGGTCAAATACCTACCAAGGGAATGGACAATGGAAGCTTTTCCAGAGAGCGCTGTTCCTGGCAATCCCCTTGGTCCCTGCGGACCTGCTACTCCAGGTGGACCTTGTATTCCAGGAGATCCTCGAAATCCTCGTTTACCACGTCTTCCCCTTTGTCCACTTGGTCCTTTCGGCCCTTGTGGACCCGGTGCTCCGGGCGGACCTTAAATTATCAAATGGAAATTTTCTCACAAATAAAGAGATTGATGGAATAGTGAAGAAAATTTCATACCTCTGAAACAAACTGGTTTACTTGATGGTTTTGACGATTTTAACTATGAGATAAATAGCAGTTCTATTAATACACCCTGCCTTTGATTTATCAATTCACAGAGGTCACAAATTTGGCGACTTTATCCAACTTGATATGTACACTATATTAGATTTCATTAGAAATGTCTGGAAACTTTCACAAATATGATTTTCGTATCATTGTCAAGTTTGGTTATAAGGTTTTTGTTTTTAGTAACTTTTACTATTAAATATTATTAATAGTCAAACCACGATCTTACAATTACTTTACTCTTGAAAATGATGACTGATGCCACCGAAACATCGAGTCATGTCGTTATAAACTTTAAAGTAAAAGTTTGTTTATTTCACAGAAATTGTGATGCTGTTTGCTTCTTGGTCCATGTTGACAGTCAATATATCAAAAGGCTTGACAGAATATTTTGTTCTTGTAAATGACGAATTGTTTTGCACAGTGCAAAAACGAAATAAGATCGTTTACATTGTATCTAAAAGTTTCGTGAAATCTCGTGTTTGTTCATTAAAAGTCATAGTGACAATGCAGAATTGCGTATACCTTTTTGGATGATCTAGACGAGAAGATTTGCATACAGAGATCTCTGCATTTGGTACAAGCACTCGTTGGATCTCTCGAGCCATTGTTAGCCGCTCTTGGCAAGCGATTTTTATATACATCAGCGTCTGACTCTGTTTTCTTGATTTGCTCGCATCGAACGATTCGTTCATCCAAAGTATGCACTCTGTAAGTCAAATACCCCACAGACAGTATTGTCAGGGCTAAATTCAGCAATACACCAAGCTGAAGTATACAGCTCGTTTTAGATTTTCCACTGCCCTCCATGACGATATGAATTTGCCAAAACGTGCATGTCTTTTATTTTCCACCTCTCAGTAATTTGAGTATTAATCTAAGTAGAGGTCATGGAAATAGTAGTAATGATTCAGCAATACCGGAAGTTGCTATTAGATTCCGTGAAAAAAGGAAATAAATGTAATTGAAGCTTAAAACCCTCTATAGTTTTTAGATCGACTTTGCACGAATTGCAACGTTTCCGGGACATCAAGATCAAGTTTATTTGATTTTTTTTTTAGATTTTCGACAGCCCTCCATGACGTTATGAATATGCCAAAACGTGTATATCTTTTGTGAAGCACCTCTTAGTAATTTAAGTATTAATCTATGTAGAGGTCATGGAAATAGTAGAACTGATTCAGCAATAGCGGAAGTTGCTATGTTTATAGCTTTTGGTTCGACCGTTTCCGGAACATCAAGTTCAAGTTTATTTTTTGAAGAAGTTACATGAATGATGTGATGGTCTGCAAACTAGTGTAGATACTTAACTATTTTTTAGCTATATTTAAAGGGTAAAATTAAATTGTGTTTATACAACTTTCATTAATTTTAAAAATTTTGTTCACATTGTCTTTTATTTTGCATGAATCAATAAAATACATTGCTTGATTTTGTTGGATAAAATTAAAATAAAGGTGTTGTTCGAGTGACTACCTATTTCTAGAACACAACCCAAGAAGAATACTAGAGCCTTTCAAAAGAGGTTGTTGGACAACCGAGGTRTCATGTTCCTGACGATGACCCAGAACTGTTTTTGAAATATAGCAACAAAAWTTTTTTTAAAAATTCGTCTATTAAATGTGGTTGAATGTAATTTAGGCAAAGTTAAAATCGAGACAATCTTTGCGTCCAGCGGTCTTTCACCCAGYGCGGGGGGCCCTATTTTAACTAGGGGCATACTGGCAGCGTTTGCAGTGCTAGCAAGTTTTTAGCACGAGCGGGAGTTATTTACTTCTGATGAGTTTTAATAAGTTATGTAATCACGTTTAAGCTCTTTTAAAATCAAAATTATGGACATTTTTTGTCCTTTGTAACCTTATTTGGCACTGCTYGCTATCTTAGACCAAGTTAWTTATTGAAGGTCACATAACWACACATCCATTGGTTACAACATCATTGGAGTTGACCGAGTTTTCATCGATGTCCGTCAGTTTAAAATCGTTGCTGCTCGACTCATGGGCATCGACTTTCGGTTTAATAACGGAGAAGTTTGGGAGAAACTTTGAAACTTTTGTATGACTTTTTTCGTCACTTTTTTTCAACTATGTTTCCTTAAAAAACAAAGTCATTTATTTTTGTAAACTTTGTGCACATTTTCCTTTATCTTGCATGATTTGAATTTGAGGTCTGTCCCTGAAATTGTCACAGCCGCGTAAATTTGTCTAAATGAGTGCACTTTGTCAGTCTGATGCCAGGCACATGATAGTACGTTTCACTAAAAAAGTCGCAGCCACGCCAACGCTATATACCAAATTGCGGGTTTTATGAGTTCGAGTGTTTTTTTTAAACCCTAAAACTAAAGAAACCTTCTTTCTGGGTATATTCGAGAAATGTGCTGAAACGCCTTCACTGGCAAGAAACCAATGCATTCCTCTGTGTTAAATAGAAAGGATATTTGTTTTTTTTTTGTTTTGTTTACTATTTACTTGTTGAAATGGCAGCCTTTTAGCAAGGTCTGGGACTAACTTATGTTCACTTAGTCCTCCGTCTCCTTGATTGAAAACATACTTCAATATACTGCTATGTTGTTGTCTCATATATATACTTTACTGATTTGAATTCATTTCTATGTAATCTGATATCCAACGAGAAAAATAAACATTATAAAGATTGAGGAAATATTAAAAGATAACTCCATACATTCACTACCAATATGCAAATTGCCCACCTATAACAATTGCAATACAGAGACATAATCGGCTTACGCGTTGCCACGTACATTACCACCCAATTCAAATCCTTTGTGAAGAAGAACTTTTGTTTCTAAGAATTCAACTGTGAAATGAAAATACAACGAACACTAAAACTTACTCCCGGGTGGTTTGAATTGGGTGGAAACGTTTATAGCAGCGCGTTGTCCGATTAGGTCTATTTCCCGCAAATATCGTATGTGTTAAAAGCGGCATCGATATATTATGTGGGATCCCTGTGTTTTGTTAGAGTTTCTTTCACCTAAACCTCTCAGCCGTCTTGGTGAAACACTTCGAACTCGTCTGGCTGAAAGTAGTACGATCCTGCAAGAAGGTCCCTTGCTTTAGTTGATTTGTATGTGTAGCCCTTAATCAGTACATAGCTATGTCCAGGGTCCGTATAGGAGTTTGTGTTGCT